TCAAAATGTAGCTTTTAAAGCAGGAATCTGAAAATGTGATGTCATTTTGACCAAATTTGACTTAATCCTCATTTTGATAAGATGGGTCACATTTTATTGAAATGAAGCGAGTAAATGTTACCTCTCCTCCTCGTCGTCTTCATCCCCCATCGCGTCGTCGATGGCGTCGTTCATCATCTCCTCCTTCATGTCCATGAGCTCGCTCTGTTTCTCAAACTCCATCATGATCTTCTGAATCTGTGGCAGTTTCAGCTGCGGGGACGGAAAGCCGTCTGGTCAAACACAGGAAGTGGCATCGTTTTTCTGAGCGTTTGGGYGAACGTCACACAGACCTGTCTGTTCATGGTCGCCATGGCTTTTGTGACGCCCTTCATCGCCTGCGCCATGCTGTTGTTGGACTTCAGCGTCTGGATCTTCAGGCTGACAGCCTGGATGTTGGCTTTCATCATGATGAACTTCTTCACATAGCGCCGTGTACGGACCAGGTCTTTGGCCATGATCTTCACCGCGTCCTGCAGAAGGATCAGAACAAAAAAAACAACGCGCTGTCAACCGCCTTCTTCACCCACAGGGTCAGGAGCTCCGCCTCCTCTACCTCACCATCTGTCCCTGTTTGGCCATTTTCTTGATGTCGGCGATGATCTTCTTCTCCTGCTGCTCTAGCTTCATCCGCTCGCGRTCCAGTTCTCTCATGGCTCGGTTGAGCGCTCTCTGGTTCTGCCTCAGCATCTCCTCCGGAGTCTTCCTCTTCCCAAACAGGAACTCCATCTGGTTCAAGAGAACACAAGCTTAGAGAAATTACACAAACCATCAAACTGGGGTGAAAAATAAAACAACAGAACCTGAATGACATCTAAAGAGGTCCATAGAGAGAAAAGAATTATAAAAAATTATATAATAAAATATCATTTTTAGCTAGCTTATTGCCTATTGTGCTATTTTTAATATCTTCTTGTTGCTTTTAGCTTTTAGCCAGCCTTTTACTACTTTTAACTACTTTTACTTTKAAATGCCTTTGTGCGACTTCAGCTTAACGCTACCCTTTTGCTATTTTACCTTTTAGCTAGCATTTTGCTTTTTCAACACATAGCTAGTGATTTCCACCTTCAACCTTTTAGATGGTGTCAGCTTTATTTAGATTTAACAAAACAGTTTCAGCTTTTTCAKTTAATTTCAGTGTTCACAGTGTTTTTACAGGAAGTCTATACTTGCTAGTTTTTGTTTACTTTAAAATCAAACAATTACACATCACTATACAAAAACATCTATTAATATAAATTTTATTTATTCTCTTAAAATGACAAATGTATCGTCTCCACATTAAGAATAGGCAATAAAAAAGATGCTTCATTTTATAAACGGAAAGTGCTGACTCATTAAACACCTGACTGATGACGTCATTACTTTTGAAGGGTGGCTTTTCTGTGATTTCACTTCAAACTCTGGAGGGGAAAAGCAACCCTGACAAAAAAGTCACTGTTTTATCTGTATCTGCACAAAACCTGTAGAGGAAAAATGTTTTGATGTTTTGTAAATTCATCATCTGGCCATTTGTTTTTTTAACAAGATAATGGTCCAGATAATTATCACCTTTTTTCACAGCATCACGTTAAAATGATACTAATGAGAAATTAACCGTAAGTCACATGAAACTAATTTCTCACCAGCCTCACTATTAGTAATCACAGTTATTATTTTTTATCTACTGAATCATTACAAAGCTACAAGATTTAATAAAATCATTAGTCCTACGGCCACAATGAATACAAAAACCAGATTAAAACATACTTTATTAGAAATATGTGYAACTTGATTCCCCAAACTGACTATTACTAAAATATCCTAAGTATTTTATTTTCCAATAACTTCATCAGCGAAATCTATAAATAGTACTGAAATAGATGGGGGGATTTTCACCTTTTAAAGTTAGTAAGGTCACATTAAACAGTATCTGTCTTGTTTGTTTAGTCCTGGTCGTTCTTTTTACTCAGCTGTAGTTACCCCAAAGAGGCCTGAGCGTCTGATTTCAACCCTGTTCAGTTGGGATTCTCCTCCTCTCAACCCGTGACAGTCGTCCCACACGGTCGGTTCACTCACCGTGAGCTACACTCGTCGGCGGGAATAAAAAGTAAAAAATCCAGAAACTACGCGGAGCTGCGGGGAGTTTTCTTCGTTGACGACTCGATTCCGAAAAATAAAAAACGGTTATTTTGTTTTCGTTCCAGCACTTCCGCGTTTGCGACAGTTGCTTTTCCGGTAAATGACGTAGCCGCGTACGCCCTGGATAACAGATTGCCGTTGCGTCAGTTGCGTCAAGTTAAAGTAGACAGTAGACTTTCAAAACAAAGGTTGTGTTTTTTTCCCAGCCGCTGCAGATAGTAAATAAATGATTTTACATACGTTTATATACTGTATATATA